GACTGGTCCAGGGGGAGAATACCGGGTGGGGAGGAGGTGGGAACGCCTGCCTATCGGTCGGCTAACGATGGGGGGCCAAATCCAATAGTCGGTTCCAGTTGGGAAGACGTTAATCCCTTTCAAGCCAGTGAGCAGTCCCTATTTCCTCGTGGGTTTCCCTGGCTGGTCTGGCAGGGCTGAAAAAGTTTATTGGAAGGGGTTCAACGAAATCCCTGAATCGGGGCCGAGTTTGACGGCCTGACATTTTGGGCCAAGAAGACGGCGATGGATGGTGTGGTGGTGTCTCGAACAGGCGGCTGTGGCTGAGGATGAGGCTTTCGGTCTCCGGAATGACTCGGAGTTAAATACCTTATCCAGTGTTGCTGGATGATATCATCAGCGTAGACAGTCGTCATCGATTTTCGAGCAACAGGGCTGCTGCGACGCATATTTATCTGATTGCTGCGGTCATCCCGACCCTTCCAAGCTAAAGGTTTGGTGGCCCACCCTGTCCTAGCTTACACAAGTGATACCTACTCCGTACATACCAACCTTACCCAAGATTCTACCACCAACCACACAATGCAAGCCGCAGTCAACTGGCCTCAGAAGTACCACCCGGGTACAACCGACAACTTCGTCTCCAACGAGGTCTACGTTCCCGGTACAACCGTCGAGCGAGTCTGGGACTACCTAGCCACCATCACCAAATGGGAGTCCTACTACGATAACGTGGGCCAGATCACCCCGCCAAGCTCCGGCCCTGTGCTGCACGAAGGGGACAAATTCTCGTTCTCCACCTTCGGATTCCCCCCGCTCCAGGCCGAAGTGCACGAGTCGGTGCCGCCCACAGACAACAAGCCGGGAAGACTCGCGTGGCGCGCCTGGCAGGAGGGCGACGAGGACACCGCGCTGGATATTTACCATGCGTGGATCGTGGAGAAGACCGAATGGGGGGTGATCCGCATCCTGACGCAGGAGTCGCAGATCGGGAAGCCCGCCGCGCAGCTGGCGACGCAGAAGCCGAACCCGATGCTGAACGGGCACCAAGCGTGGTTGGATGGCTTGGCGGAGATTGCGCGGTCGGGTTGATGGTGACAGAGCGCATGATGGGTTTTGTGCTTGTTGACCATGTCGGCCGTCTGCATCTACTCTGCGCCCAGACCGTGCCTTCATAGATGTCCCAATCTAAATAATGTGTAGTAGGATTATTGTGTTGTGATTCTTGCTGTGTCCGTGTTTCGGAATGTACTCGTTCATGTCTAGTACAATCATCTCTATTGAGTGTGAACATTTCAAATCCCATGTCTCCACCAGCAGTGCTCTGCAGAATCTCTCCAAACATTCCGCACTACCACCTCTTCCACCTACAACCCCAGTCGTCATCCTTTTCACACCCGGTCCTCCCGCACCATGTTGCGATACGGGTTATTCGGATCCTGCTCCTCCTCCTCAGCGGAGGGGATCGTCTTGCGCACGCGACAAGGGTTCCCGACCGCTACCGAGAAGGGAGGAATATCCTTGGTGACAATGGAGCCGGCGCCAATCGTCGACCCTTCCCCGATAGTGACGCCCGGGAGGATGACCACGTTCCCGCCGATCCAGCAGTCGTTGCCGATCGTGACGGGGTGGCCGAACTCGACGAACTTGCGGCGCGACAGGACGCTGACGTCATGGCCGGCCGTGTAGATGTTGACGTTCGGGCCGAATTGGACGCGGTCGCCGATGATGATCAGGCTGGTGTCGAGGGCGGTGAAGCTTTGGCAGAGGAATTGTTAGCGAGGAGAGGTAACTGAACGAAGACGGTCAGGGCTAACTTGAAGTTCATGAAGCAATCGCGGCCGATGCTGATGTTGCAGCCGTAGTCGGGCATGAAGGGCGGCTCGATGAAGGTGCCCTCGCCGACCCGGCCGACGATCTTCTGGAGGAGCTCGAAGCGCCGCTCAGCAATCTGCTCGAAGGGGACGGACTTGGCGTCGAGGTTGTTGTAGTCCTGGGCCACGCCGCGGGCGCGGTGTCGGCCTTCCAGAAGTTTCGGGACGATGGGGTTGTATCTGAGCCGTCAGCATCCTTCACCAATGCGCTATCTGCACCCCGTACGGTATGCACACGACACACCAGTGAGCTTCAATGTGTGTGTACGTACAGCATGCCGGAGATCATCCGCTCGTACTCCTCGCACATGGGCACATAGTTCAATCCCCGGGCGATCTCGATGATCTCGGGTCGTTTTTCGGACGCAGCGACGGACATGATGACAGTGATCTAATAAACAATGAACTGTCTGGAGATGAAAGGAAATACCCTGGTGCTTGATCTCGTGGCAGCGCGCCTATTTATGGAGGTTGGTCGACCGCGGGGTAGCGACTCCGCAAAGCGGGCATCGCGCCTCTCGATTCCCGATCGGGAAATACTCCCAACTGCTGGAGTCGCGGAGCGCTTGGCGCCGATATTTCACCGCCTCACCGCCTAGTATGTCTGCCTTGTTGCCTTGCGGAACAGGCTACGGATTAGCATCCCTCCGCTTAGTGCATAATGTTAGGTTTGCATAACTTCCGCAGCTACAACCATACCTCTCTTATCACGAACGGTGCTAGTACTGGACTCAGTCGGAAGCTGCGTCCTTCTAGTAGTAGCGAGAGATGCTGCGAGGCATGTCAAGTAACACTGAACACGAATGGGACTATAACACTCTATTAGCGAAGCCACTCGGTACGGTACTTCGTGATTCCGACAGTATACTTCGAAATACATAAACAGTCATAACCTACAATAAATAGGTCCACCACAGCACACCAAAATTGTGCGACTTTTACTCCCTCCACACCAGAACCCCCCTCTCATACAACCCACTGACCACCCCCAACCCCCTCTTCACATCCCTCACAGCGGTCGAACTCGTCCCGAACTCCTCCCCTACGAACAAATCCTCCACCCGCCCCTCCACATTGCCATCCCACTCGGCGACCCAACTCGGCGCCCGCCCTCTCTCGGCAACAGGCTTACCCTTCCCATTCCCCTCGAAATCCACCGCCCAATTCGTCTTAGCCACTTTCGCCACCGCGGGGAAGAACGGATGGCCCGCCAGGATCAGCTTCCCCTTTCCGTCCGTGCTCAGATTGTCCACCAGAAATCTGGTCCGGAAGGACAGCGTCTTCTCCAGATCCTTGGTGGCAGGATCGATCCGGTACACCGTCACGGAGGGCGTCGTCGTCGACGCGACGGCCACGTGGGTGTGGTTGAGCGCTGCGATGCCGTTCGCGTAGGGCAGGTGCGCGACGACCTTGTACGTGTCCGTCTGGAGGTTGGCGTAGACCACCGTGCCTCCGGGGTAGGCGGAGTAGGTCTCCAGGGCGGCGAGGAGCGGGGAGGCGCGCTGGGTGAAGCGGTGGTCGTTGGTGATGTAGAGCTCGTGCGGGGAGACGGCGAGCAGGGCGTTGGGCCCGTGCAGGAGCGGGTGGGTTATGGTCTTTTCGTGGTGGAGCGACGGGGCTTGAGGGTTGGGGTCGAGGGTGAAGAGCTCGATGGCCGGGCCGGTCGGGGCGTGGTTCGCGACGAAGAGTTGTAAGGTCTTCGGGTTGTAGGCTAGGCCCAGCGGGTGGAAGGTCTGGCGGGAGGTGGTGGGGAAGTTGGTCAATGGGAGCGGGTGGAGGTTGTTTTCGTCGGAGGTCGCGTCGAAGGTGGAGGCGTAGTTGTAGAGGTAGAGTGTTCCCGGGTTGGTGGCGTTGATGAAGGTTCCCTGCGTTGTGGGGGAGGGAGGTCAGTCGGTGGGATAAGAATGCGGGGAGGGAGGGGCACCGACCATGACGGTGTTCCAGGTGTCGCGGCCCGGGTCGCAGCTTAGGATCGCGAAGCCGCGCTGCGTGTCGAGGTGGACATCTTCGCAGTTACGGATCCGGTCTGCGAGCACGACTTTTTGGTCGGCGAATTTGGAGATCTGAGGAAGTCGGCTGGGATGGTTGTTCACCGTCAGCCAAATGAGGGTGTGGCGGTCGGTCAACCAGCCCAGCAGTACAGCTAGGCCGAGGACGATCTAGGAGATCGGGTTAGAGTGCGAGCGGCCCTTCTGAGCAGGGGGAGGGAATTTACTGTTGCTATACGTGTTGACAGTCCCATGATCTTGGAAGAAGGCTGACAGGTGACAAAAACATGATGAGAGGGGTGGGAATTGACTGTAGATAAATAAGGTTGTTTTGTTGGGAAATTTACGGGTTCAAGGCTGATCGCGTCCCCACCAGGAGGACTAGCCCTCCGTATCCCGCCCACAGCCAGCCTATCGGACTATCCTGTCGAGCCATGGAGCTTCCGTTTGGCTGGAAGATGACATGGTCTGAGGTGAGATTGATTTCTTTGATGCTGGATTGCTAATCCACGGATATCCAGTGGAGACTGCTGGTCAACATCGTATTATGAGTTTGGTTATTATGTTCGTATCGATTAGTGATCGACTTGCCTGGGCTGGGTGGGTCCCTTCTGCTGGCGCTCGATACGGAAGCCCACTGCAGCCATTCGGCACATGGAAGTATGCTGGTAGAATAAATGATAACATAGTATAAGTGAAAAGATCAATTAGTAGATCTCTGGTAGTACTAGTACATCATACTACATAGTCAGTAGGTCCGTAGTCTATAGCCCTCTAAGATTATACGTATGGTCCTGACTAAGTCATTCTAGATCTGCTGGTTTTCATATTTTTCTTTTCTGAGAGGCATATAAAATCTCTTCAGAGAAAAGTGACAGAGGTTGACAAGTTTGACTTTCAAATAGATAGGGATAGAGGCCTACGAGAGCACTAAACTACGTATGCGTATACCCTCCAGGCTCCAGCTAGACCCTTGCCTTTCCGTATGCGGGATAGCGTGATCATGGCCTGTTAATCGATGCCTTAGGCAGTAAGCTCTGCAGTCACGTGACAAGACTGGGATGGATCTCATAGCTTTGTGAATTGAGTGTATAAGACTGTAGGGTACGACTTATCCTGGATTGTTCGCATACCGATTACAAATTGAGGTGTGGGTGGACCCAGAAAGCTGCTTACAATATTGTAAACAAACGTGCATTGCACAGGATACGAATGCCTCAAGGCAAGAAGAATGTGGTTCGTCTCTGGCATGGTCACATGATGCACTGAAGCAAAAAAACTCACATAAGGGGATTCCAGGCTACCTGGTTAACTGAGTGGTGATTTTGAGTTGGGCGTACTGCTACCTCCTCAAAATACTATCGACATGCCATGACCAATTTTGCCGCATCAGGAAAGAAGAGCGATCCGACTGTAAAAATCCGCTTCGAGTGGATCGGTCGGTGGAGCCCTTCTTGAAGTGGATGGCCGAGTCTCAGGTACTAGTCGAGTCGTTTATCATAAAAGTCAGGGTCACAGCCTTGTCCCTGAGACTGATTGAAGAGTCTCTCTTCTTTATCATCGCACATTCCTCTCTGCACCTTTTTTCCTGCTACACACTAATGCCATTGGAACATCATGGGTCATGCGGGTTTCTCCGCTGCCCAGCCGAGATCCTGAACTTGGTGTTTGGCATGCTTTCAACAGCTGAACTCAGGGCACTAGGCCTCGTCAATAAGGATTTATGCGCACTTGTTGAGCCATACCTCTATTCCAAAATCGATTGGATCTGGCGAGAAAATCACGCTCCTCCCCCAATCACACTACTGCTACGAACAATCATCAGCAGACCTCAGCTAGCTGCTCACATCACCAGTTTCCAATTTCAGAGCCTTCCAGCCTACTGCTGGGAGTGGAATAAGTTTGCAGGTCAAAAGATTTCTGTTCCTGTTGCTGAACTAGACGGATTCATTACATTCGTCCAGAGGACAGGGGCCCCATACAGTGACCTTTGGATTGATGGATTAAGCAACGGTACTCCGGATGCTATGCTTGCTCTACTCTTAGCACAACTGTGGAACCTGAGAAGTCTGTCACTTGACTATATCTTCTGCCAGCAGACTAAAATGATTGAGATGCTTTTCCAGTCGGCCATCTGCGAGCCTGCGATGTATAGATTGCCAGACTTTAAGCATCTCCAAACTGTGTCTTTCCAGTCCTATGACGATTCCGGCGCTCTGTGCACGGCGTTAAGGTCTCGAGGCCAGAGACTGCTGGGTCAATCACTTGTCCTCCCATTCTTCTACTTGCCAGACGTCCAACGCATTTCGGCCGCAATTCAGAACACAGATAATTTCGCATGGCCTACAGCCTGCTTACCTGACCCATCCAAGCTTACCTCGATCTATCTGGCCGACATACGGGAAGCAAATCTCGGCTCTCTGCTGTCCGTCACCCGCAACCTTCAATCACGTCGTTGGACCTGGTATTACGATTATGGTGTCCTCGATGCTACTGTTGTGCCCATTATCAACCTAGATGGGATCGTGGCCGCATTATCCCGTGTTCGAAATACTCTCGCAGATTTGACCATCTTTGCTGAGGCTCCCATTGGGGGTGATGATCCATGCTATCCAGCCGTGAAGGTAGAGGGCTCGTTGCGTGAGATGGTCGAGTTCGGCAAGCTCAAGAGACTACAAATTCCGCTAGCATTCCTGGTAGGGTTTGCGCAGGACACCACGAAACGGCTGCAGGATGTCCTCCCACGGAACATCGAATACCTTTCCCTCACGGACGAGTTAGGGCTTCAGAATGAGGATGGATATGTTGAGGAAACCTGGCCGGTCTATGAATGGCAGGATTTCGCCGTTTTGATATTATTGCGGACGTGGCTGGAGGATTGGAGAACCCACACACCCCACCTTCGAGGCGTTTCGTTGGTCTATGAAGAACTAGATACTAATCAAGGCGAGTGGCCTCCCGAGTTAAGGCACCAGCTCACGGAGCTAGGCACTCAAGCTGGTATACAGCTCGAGTTGGTTGAGTGGGTACGGCGTTGGTAAATTACTAAGCGTGCCCAGTCATTCATAAGCCACTTTCCTACTTTCAGATATTCAAATAATTCGGATTCATTTCAGAAGCAAGACCTTCAAACCTTGCTGTTCCTGTCGCTGTTCGTACCAGTTTCCTCGTTGCTTTCGTCGGGAGAGTAGCAGAGTTGAATTTGGCTCCTCTCTTCAATACCCCCAGCGACCTCGCTCAGGTCAAACGTTTTGTAGTCTTTACTTTGATCCAGAACTTGGAACCCATACTCCTGAACGAACAAGCTGAAGCCGAATCTCGGACACAGTAACAGGGCTCTGAGAGAAGCCTAATATACATCGCAGCGACCAATCAGCTCAGCAGCCAGTATACGGTAGTTCTTCGGAGATTCTCTTATTACCCTAGGTCTAAGAAGTCATCTCCTGTCAAAACTCGGAAGACTAAAGCGAGACCATGATGCCTCATCCCGAGGATATCGAAATGTCTTAGGTGTATGGGGTAGGAAGGGCTCAATCTCCCCGTCCGCCTCGTCCCCGGAGACCATCTTCATGGCCCCGGCCCACATACGCCTCCACCGCCGACACACGAAGATATGATGCAACACGTGCTGGTCCATGGGCAGGTCTCTCGGGTCGATCGGCGGGGCGTAGGGGCCGCGAGCCCGCGACGGCGGCTCGAACCCCGGATGGCCGCCGTAGCACACAAAGTCCGGCACGCAGTACTTGATGTACTCCAGGCGGGTGGCGATGCTATGCACGGGCGTGGACGGGGAGGGCCTTGCGCCCCCCGCCGCCAGGAACGCCTCCATGTCGCGCCCGAACAGCTCCTCGTAGATGATGATCTGGAAGGTGGCGCGGTCGGCGTCGGTGTAGAGGGTGTTGGGCTCGCTCACGCCGCCGTCCCAGAAATTCTCCGTGCTGCGGAGCCACTGCTGCCCGGCCATCTTGTCGATGCGGTCGGAGAGCGGGTTCACGATGTCGAAGCGCGCCTGGTGCAGGCGCCGGATGTCGGCCAGCGTGAGCCCCGCGTGCGCCAGGCAGAACTCGTACAGCCCGTCGATGCCGCCCTGCAGGGCCTCGTGCAGGAGGGCGGTCCGCGTCGCGTCGCCCACGGCCCACTCGCTGGCTTGCCGGGCGGTGGCGGCGACCAGGAAGTACGGGTGCGGCGAGAAGAAGGTCGGGGCCGAGGCGGCCGCGAAGTTGGCACGCAGGAGGCGGCAGCTGGACGAGGCGATGGTCAGGATCTCAATGTTGTCGAGGAAGGCGGGGAGGAGGGCGAGGATCTCGTTGGGAAGGGAGTAAATGGTGGTGGTCATAGTGGTAGACATTGTGCCGGGAATTGCACGATGCTGAGGGAATATTGTAGCTTCGGGGACGAGCCATGATATTCGTTGTTATTTATATCCGGAGGCCTGGGTACTTTTTGTGTCATGAAGCTCTTGTGAACCACCAACCTAGTGTAGTATTTCGATAATATTACTTTGTAAAATCGTTGTGATCCCATGCAAGCTTTCAACGGAGACAAGACCTGGATTTATTGTTTCGAATTCTTCCTTTTGAAAAACAGAACTGTCGTTTATGCTTCTAGCAGCAATGACATATACTAATCATGTTCATATCCTTGAGGTCCAAATCTGCTTGATCTAATTGCTGCATCGTTAATTCAGAATACGTTCAGCAATAATGAACTGTTTGCTGAGGAAACTCTACTTGGATCTTTTACACAGACTTACAGGTCACAGGAAACAATTCTGATTGGTGCTGTCATTGGCAATCCGAAGTATTGCAATCTAGGATTTCTATGTATGTACAAGAGTATCGGGTGACTGAAGGACGATGATCCACGTTGGCTGCGCAAGGTTATTTGAGGACTTGACTAAGATCCAGCGGAGTGAATGGTGAGCAGCCTGAAACCGGAGACCTCATTGCCTCTTTTAGTGTCTCTTTCTCAACGTTGCATCTTCTGTACGATTCTCTCACAAGCCTTCGACTTCCATCGCCGGATACACATAACAATGCTCTTACCAACGAAGGGATAGTAACAAAGAAGATTGAAGTGGACAATGAGCATTGTTTGTTTCAACTACTTACCCATACGCCATAGTGAAAGACTTGAGGCAAAGAAGGAAAACAGCCCACTTCACTCGAAGAGTTATCTTGGCAGCTAAGACTATACTTGTTCACTGACTTTTACACTGATTTCCGTGAAGAAAGAAGTACTCTTGTGTTTGATTGTGTTGATCTTATTTAAGCTACGGCATGCCCGAAGTCTTCTGGGTGTTGCACCTCTAACACACACAACTCAACACCAACTTTTCATCATAGCCTTCTCCAATCCCGCCCCAAATCTTCAGAGTGTACAGTCCCGAGTCGAATCCCTATAACTACTACCACAATGTCCGACATCGGGGCCTACTACAACATCATCGTGTTTAGCCTCTCCGCGGGCTACGTACTCATCAGCGGATTGGGGTGCGTGTGCTACTTCGAAATGCGGGCCCTGGAGGACCGGGTGGGCGAGCTGCGCGACGGCGAGTGGAAACTGCATGCGCGTCTACGAGAGTACAGAGAGTCTATCAAGCATGACGAGGAGCGGCTGCAGGAGCTCGAGGAGCAGGTGGAGGAACTGAAGCAACAGCTGGCCGAGATGAAGGCGACCCAATACCCGATCCGGGTGGCGGAGACCGATGAAGAGTCGTTGCTGGACATCAGCGCAGAAATGGAGGAACGGGCAGCAATTGAGAATTAAGGCAGTGTCAAGGATCCTTCTCTACCCTATCTATCGCCCGGATGCGCTTAGTGCCTTGATTCGTTGGGACTGCCTGGCAGGTACCGCAATCCGCAGCTTGCTGTGAGCTGTGCTCCAACCACGCTCTTCTAAAGTCACAAGAACGTGTTTGCACAAATTCAACCATTCGACAACATTTTTCTCCTTGGTATCCTCAATAAATTCTTAACCTTTTTTGGTCATTCTTCTGTCTCTCAAAGAATCTTCTATGCTAGCCTACATACAGATTTTTTCCATATACCAGTCTTATCTATCTGTTTTTTGTAAGCTAAGTCTCCTTCTAATATTCGAGATTAAGGTCTAGATATGGCCTGCAATGATACTAGCGCTCTATTTAGTTATACGTTTATGTACTGTAATGCCATTGCATTATGGCCTTCTCACGATGCTTTATCTCATAGTTCAAAATCTGCGATGCGGGCACATAATTCTGTCCCTTGTTTCAGTAATTGAAGTGCTCCTATAATCCCCAATCGTTCCTTTCCATCCTTGCACCAAGTATACAATGACTATCAAGAGTATCCGGAGTAACCAGTACATACACTACCCTTCATTCAATTTGATCTAAGCGACAAACTCCGAGATCAACTTGGCATCGGTCTTTTATCAAGAACAGATCTTTGTATAAACAGACGGAGTATTCTCCAACACAAACCTCGAAGACTTTTCCAGGCTATCTTGGATCAGGAGCTTATCCGGAGACGCTCGAGACAAAGCAAGGCCGCTGCCGGAATTTTTGCTTAGCAATAAAGACCCGCTTGAGCATCAGAGACCTTACGGCGTCTAGTTACGGTTTTTCAAACGTAGCCCATCCATACTCTCGACTATTTATAAAGCCACCACGCAGCCCAATTCGAACCCTCTATCTCCAACCCCAACCCGGCAATAGCACCGAGTTCGACTCCTTGCCCCCACCCCATTCTCAGAGATCCGTCATCGTTGCACCCGCCAAAATGCCAAAATGGGAGAACCTAGCCCTGAGCTCAGCCACCAAAGACCTCGAGCGGGCGCTCCTGCACCTGCGCCGCGTCCATCTGGAATTGCTGCGCGGGACCAAGCCGTGTACCCCGAAGGCGCGCGAGTTCCGGAGGCAGATACAGCTGGCCCGGGCCATCTTCGAAAGGGGGCTGCACCAGACCGAATCCGTGGAGAGGGCGTTGAACCCCGCGCCGTTCAAGCCTGCCGGGGTCAAATCCCCGCGCCGCAGAAGCCCGCAACGTTCTAACAAGCGTCGTGTTCGATTCTCCTTTGAGATCTGAGGGGGATGCCGTTGGGGCTGCCCTTCCGTTAGGGTTTGGTTATCCTTGCTCTCGTTAGTTGGTGTCTTAGTATGACACCGATGGGTGGGGCTTTTACAATCTAAAAAGTTATATGAAATATAATCATCTGTGCACAATATTGTAACGCGATCATCGAGTGTAAATCTTGCTCAGACAAGAGAGACTCATTTCAGGTATCGAAGAAGCTTAGGTGTGAGGATGAGCCTGTCAAGCCGTACTATGGAATTTTTGAACGTAGTGGTCAAATTCGGCATCCAAGTCTCGTAAACAAGCCAAATCTAGCCAATTGGTTTGCCAGTCCGCTACGATTCTTCGTGCACGCCACAAGCGATTGATGAAGTTCCCCTATAGCGTCTGTAGCAAATGTACTGTTCTTCCATGGAAAACCCACCAATTCATTGTTCTAGTGCATTACAAACTCCTTGTAACCCAAGCGTACAGTTCTTTGTCAATGACTCTCCTCCGGAACTCGGCAAGATCTATAAAAAGGCTGACGACACCACCCCGCCAACCCCTCGGTTAACCATCAACCCTCAAAACCGCACAACGGACCCAAACCCACCCAAGATGTCCGAAGCACAGACCGAGAACCTCTACGCCTCCCTCCTCGCCACCGCCCGATCCTCCGTGGACACGGTCCTGTTTCTGGAGACGATCCAGCAGGAGATCGAGACCGGGTACGCGCTGCGCACGGAGCTTCGCCACGAGAACGAGCGCGCGCTGAGCTCGCTGCTGGCGGCGATGCCGAAGCTCAGCGAGCGAGGACCGTCCGTCCGGCAGCTGGAGGAACAGGCCCAGCAGCTGACCGCCGAGTCCGCGTCGCTGCGGGAAAAGATGGTCCGGTCGCGGCGACAGCTGCCGTTGCTCAGGGCCCGCACGGAGGCGTGGCTGTGGACGTACCTGCGCACTGCGGATGCGAGCGAGCTGGCGACGAAGTTGAACAGCGGGGGCAGGTAGCGTGGATTGTGATGGTGG